TACGAAATCAGTAACACTGAGACGACATAGAAAATCGTGCTATCTACCAAAATCACTACTAGAATATTGAAACTGACTAACTGACTGACTGACTGACTGTTTCAACATAGAATTTCGCACAGAAATGCACCAATTGAATTTGCTAACACTCGATGTCGTACACACAACGTAGAGGAAATAGAGATTTTCAAGTATTGGTTTTTGTAAGGATTTAGTTTAACTGGCCATTGGATCGCGTCCCAATGGCTTAATGGTCTACGAGCTCGCTAGCCTTGTAACCAGAAGGTCCTGGGTTCGAATCCCGGTGGGTGCGTACTGATGAAGAGTCCCAAACTAGGACGAAACCGCTGTCCAGTACTCCCAGAGTTTCCAGTGGTTCTCTAACTGATGTCAGCTCATGATGAAATTCTCCATGCAATCAAACAAAATCCCTACAAAACCAATACTTGTATATATATATATATATATATATATATATATATATATATATATATATATATATGAAGAAAATCGATAAACGAACGAACGAACAAACAAACAGATACACACATACGCACACAGACAAATACAAAACAAACAAAACAAATGGCATGATGAGAACACTATTGAACAAACACAAAATTTGTATAAAATTTCACATATTATGAATGTGTGAAAAAAAGGGAACAACAGTAACAACTAAATAACAAACAATATGTACTAAATATAATAACGAAAAAGCAAAACAAAACAAAAGTCTTGTAGTTAGAAAACTGAGATGACCAAAAATCACAACAACACTTCAAAGGGTGTGGATATTACTATTAGACTTTGAACTGCTCACATAGTTAAATATTTCGCTAGACATTTGTGTGTGTGTGTGGGTGGGTGGGTGTTGAACAGCAGTATGAAGGCGAAATGATATATCAGATGATCTTCACAGTGTATCGGTTATATGAACAAAGTGAGACAGTGTGTCTGTGTGTGTCGAATGTGTGCAACGAACACTGCGGAAGAGTTCAAGATGAATCAAGTTAAATAGCTACCATGTATGGATTATGAGTGGTTTCTGGTCTCCTTTACGAGTTTGACCACGGATCGATATCAGTTAGAGAACCATTGAAAACCAGTCACACAGAGTACTGGACAGCTGTTTCATCCGTCCTAGTGTGGGAATCATCGACAGTATGCATCCACACACACACACACACATACCAGGGTTCCAACCCAGAACCTTCCGGTCACAAGGCAAGCTGGCTCGTATATCATTCAGCCACTCGCTGGGACCCGATTCAATGGCCAATCCATGAATTCTAACTTCTACCAATTCGTGATTTAGCGTGACTGACACCAACCAATGTCGTCGGTGAGATATCCATCCTCACATTTGACATTTAGATGGACCTCACTGGTTACGACTTCTCACTAGAACTTCCCCAGGAAACTCCGTCCGGTAGCAAGTCACTAGTGATCATCAGATGAATTTTCTATAGTTTGGTTTGTAAGGATTAGTTTTGTTATTATTATTATTCTCCTAGACTCCAAGTGGAAATTAAGGTTCCAGCAACCTATTATTATTATTATTTCATCCTTATTGTCTGAGATCATTTTTACCTGGTTCCACCATTGCCTATAAGCTTTTCACTTCTCATCTCCAAATCATCTCCTGCATGTCACCCTCGAACACCAAGACATCCAACTCGTTGTTTCCCCCTGGGATTCCACTCGAGCAATCACCTAGAACACAGTTTCACTCCTCCGCCTCCTTAGTGGCGTCTGTTTGAACCATCTCCATTTCTTTCGGTTTATTTGTTACGTAATAGGTTATGTGTTGGTTCGTTATTTGCCAGATTTACTTCTTGGTAATTCTTACTAACCATCTGACATCTTCACAGTATGCAGCCAAGCAAAGGCAGTTGTTGATAAAAGTCTGTAGCAGGTTGTTGGGCAGTACTTCCGTGATTCACTAAGTCTCTGAACCATACAGGAGCATTGATTTGATATAAAGTGTTAGAAATTCGGACCTTGTTCCTTCCTTATGCTGAGTAGAACATATTCCTAAACTAATTTCAAATTAATAAATGCATGTCTTATTTTTTCCAATCCCGGCTTTGAAATTTTCACACATGTCAACTGTCTGCAGTTGAAATGATTCTACCTAGGATAAGTGAAGGAGGTGAAGTCCTTCGGATTACCTCCGGTGATAATGGTTGCTGCCTATGTCTGTTGTTGTTGATGATGATTAGGTACCTTCTCCACCTCTGTCTTCTCAATGTTCAGTTTAAGTTTTCCTCAATTTATCACCTCTTTTCCTAACTTTTTGGTTTTCGCCTATAAGTTTTCCAGTCTGCGTGACATTAGATATACTTTCAATGGACACTAGTCAGTAACTAGTGTGATGTGTCTGGCTAGTCCTTTCTTTGGTGCAGACTGAATTCTATCAGTCACGTTTGCAATGTGGCCACCATTCTGGGTGACTCACCATCACAGTGCACATTGATTTGATGATATTAAATGGTTGGAGGCAGTCGGCCACGGGAAGCCTTGCTTGAACTAGACTTCGAGCTAGTTGGCACTAACCAGTCAGCATGGCGTATCTGCAACCCAGTATCCAATGAAAGTATCCAATGCAGTCAGCCCTACAGGAGGTCAAACGCGAGCCCGAATAGCTAACTCATAGGTAACATCTCTGACTGCAGCACTGGGTGACGTGGGTTCGAATCTCAGAAGGGACATGAGTTCCTTCACGGTGGCTGTAGATACGCCTTGCTGACTGGTGAGTGCCAACTAGAACGAAACCTAGATCAAACAAGGCTTCCTGAAGCTGATTGCCTCCAACTATCTAACATCAACGATATTAGACATAAATCATTTGCAAAGTCATAATCTTCTAGAGTCTTTTTGTCGGTCTATCCGTCTGTTTTCGACATAGAACTTTGAACCGATGTGAGGCAGTTCAAGTCGCCACACTCCCTCTCTGTAGCACACAAAGCAAGAGAAGAAAGTAGAAGAAATGCATAATATAGACAGTAAACAGAGGTCTGAGACAAAGGAATAGTAGTAACGAAGAACAAAACAGTTTCATTGGAAATCATAAGTCACAAGGAGTGGATGCATCTGCACCAGCCATTGAGAACGACTTTGAGCCATGTCACCAATTGTTTCCAACCATTGGTTTTTACCGTCCCGAGACCCCAACCAGACAGCAGTTTACACCTTCCTACGTGGCTGGCTTAAATTAACTGTTGTAGATTTCATTGACTGGTACAACCATGTTTTGGTTTGACCACCGCTAGCTAGCTCTTTTCCAGCCTGACTTTGTGTCAGCTAACGTTGCCCGTCGAGGAAGGCGATGACTAGGCATGCATACGTAACACATGTCCTAACCATGTCTATAGATGTAATTTCACAGCCTCGTCGATTGATTTCCTCTCCTTACCTAGAACTCAACGCTTAACCTCAATAATGCTCACCTTATTATACCACTTCACACGGGAGATAGAACGTAGACACCTATGATCAAAGACAACTAGTCAGGCTTTGCATGTCTTCCACTCTCAATGGCCAGGTCTCACAGCTGGCCATAAAGGAGGACGGAGCGGACTGATGAGCAGTACACCCGCCCTTTGGTCGACAGCCAGCTAACCGGATATCACGTCTACGCCAGAGACGGCGTAAACTTGAATATGCGAAACTAGCCCTCTGTATCCGTACTCAGCTGAGATTTCGTCAGAGATCAACCCGTTGGAACTGGCTGATGGTACTTCCCAAATAAGTGAAGCGGTCAACGTGCTCTACCACTTCACTTAGTATTTCTTCCAAGAGCACACGAAGCCTTCCTGAACATCACTCTCCCTTTTGTCGGTCTGAAGTATGACTTTTTTTCCGATTCCCATATTACAGTCTGTTGTATAGCCCAGTCTACCATAATGAGAAACATCAACAGTGACAGTAAACAGCCTTCTCTTACTGTCCTTTCTTCACTTCACTTAGTAACTAACGTCATTTGGAAACTGATGAAAAGTCACATACTATCTAGAGATTGACTGGCCGATTGCGTAACACACATTCTGAAGTGATTAAGTCATTAAAGAAAAAAAAAGGATATCCACAAAATAATCTAAATCAATAAATAAATAAATGGCAAGAGTAAACAATAGACACCCAAGACCAATGACCTTGATTTGACCAATCAGATACCTCAGCATAACAAATGCATGTGCTAGTCATAATTCCTCGTAGAAAATGTCTTCTAGAATTTTGTTTTTGACTTCTCTGTGGCAAAAGGTGTTGATAGGATGGCATAAAACATGCATATGTTATGGAGGGATAATGACTCCACAGAAGGTATTGCCGGGCTATTGATTGATGGTTATACATTTAAATGCAACCACTTTATGTGAGGAAATCTCTATAAGTTGGTAAGTCGTAGTTAGTTGGTGATTTTTTTAGACACTTTCTTCTCGAAATCAAAGCTCTTCTCCTTAGTAATATATTGCGTATATGCAACCAGTGTATCTGATACAGCTGGAGGAATGGAGAGAATACAGTGGTTTGATATGTCTATAACCACTTCTTTGTAAATTTGTTTTTCTTTATTTTATTCCTTTTACGTTCCCAGTGGAACATAGGGCTTCAAGCTAGAGGCTTGAAGTTTCTGTAGCCGTGTTTATTTTTACAGGATGAGGTTGCTAGCCTCATGCCCAACCTTTCCCCTTTACTAGCTTTATTTCTGGCTTAGCGAGGTAAAGGAGTGCGTCCTGTGGCCGGGGATCGAACTCCGGACCATGTGCATGGTCGCCGAGGATCCTAACCACTGTGCCACCGACGCACTCTTTGTAAATTAAGTACCACTTTTCAACTAGAAGAATCTGATTGGCCGTTTTCAAGGTCGTCTGAAATTGGTGTCTATACTCTTCACTGTTGTCAAATAAATCAATTTAACAAACTGGAAATGTTAATTAATTATGTTTTTATTATTATAATGAATAGGACCACGACGACGAAAAAGACAAACTCACGTTCATGTCGTTCAAAACCATCCCAAAATGATTTTAAACAATAACGTGTTATTTCAGCACCAGTAGCACAATCAACTAGCGTAGTTTTTAATTCACCGAAATCATCAGAAAAACTTTGTGGTGTCCATAATTCTTGATTAAATTTACGTTGACAACCAGAGATAACAAGTGGATGATTATGTCGCCATTCAGACTATTAAAAAGAAAAAAAAAGAAGGATAAAGGCAATGAAGTCAAAAGCATTTTTCTTTAAAAATCTATAAAGATAACCTTGTCTAATCAATACATAAAGTATACGAAAGATACTATAAAGGGCATTAAAAGGATAAGCGCAGTCAGTCCAGGTGTTTATGTTGACAGAATGTCTCTAAGTAAAACTGAGCATTCAAGTATTGGTTTGTAGGGATTTGGTTGATTGGTTACGGGATTTCATCATGAGCTGACATTGGTTAGAGAACCACTGGAAAACCTGGGAGTACTGGACAGCTGTTTCGTTCTAGTTTGGGACTCTTCACAGTACGCACCCACCGGGGTTCGAACCCAGGTCCCAAACTAGAACGAAACAGCTGTCCAGTACTCCCAGGTTTTCCAATGGTTCTCTAACCAATGTCAGCTCATGATGAAATCCTGTGACCAATAAAACTCAGCATTTTGTACACCTGTAACGACAGGAGACAAGGGCCAGGCAACATATCATTTATTGAGAAAACCAAGAGATATTTAAAGACTTTTTAATGTACATTATTGTCAGCGAAGAAGCAGCCTCTTCTGATTGGTTGTTTTCGTGTTGAAGATTATTCTGTACTGCTTGTGACCGTTTCTCAGAAAGTTAAGCCATATATATCTGCGAATCCTACTTGCACACGTCAAGTCTGCTGTGATTAGTTGGTGAGTTCCTCAAAGTTAAGCTTTGTTATTGTTTTTTTCTCATGACCCCGATTCGGGACGTAAACATTGACGTAAATTGTTGTCTACAATGTTGGCTAGCAGACAGCTTTCATCACAGACAAGTGAAGAGTAACATGACAGTGAATATGATCTCATTTAATCTGATGAGTGTGTGCGTCGGTGGCATAGCGGTTAGGACGCTCGCCGACCGTTCACATGGTCCGTTTTCGCACTCCTTTACCTCGCTAAGCCAGAAATAATGCTGGTAAACAGGAAAAGTTGGGCATGAGGCTAGCAACTCCATCCTGTAAAAAAACTAAACACGGCTACAGAAACTTCAAGCCACTAGCTTGAGGCTCTATGTTTCACTGGGAACGTGAAGGAAAAAAAATCTGACGAGTAGTTGACAACCTCTCACGTTAAACAGTAAGTAACGGTTGCTGGTAAAAATCGAAGATATCCAAATACCGGAAGGCTGTTTCACCAGTTTAGAGGCTGCGGTGATCACCTGTGTATCCAGTCTGACTCAGCCCAGACAATTACCAGACAAAACCATTAGGGTTTATCAGTAGATATGGGAAATCACGAATACTGAATCCATCCAAGTCATTGAGAAACATTTTTAAGCCATATGATCATCAGCAGTCTCTAGTCATTGATTCTTAGCATCCTCAGGATGCTTACTGGTTCGAATCAATTGTCAAAGATTTCATGGACAGAGGTGAAGTTTTCGTTCGACCACCGCCGCTTAATGTTTTCCAACCCAACCCTATGTCAGCTGACATTGCTGGAAGAGAAAGACAGTGTGGTTCTATATGCATAACACGTGTCTTAGCCATCTCAATCGATGTAACTCCACAGCTTCATCGATTGACTTGTCGTCTTCACCTAACAGTCTATCTCTGATCTCAATATTACTGATCAGATTATACCAGTTAATATGGGAGATAGAATACAAACTCCTGTGGCAGAGGACAGTTAGCCTCTTCAGGTATTCCACTCTCAATGAGCATGTCTTACAGCCATAAAGAAGGACAGAGGTAAGTGGGCAGTGCTAAGAGTACATGACATCAAATAATCACTATGCAAATTATATAATTCAAGGAGAAAGTTTCACCAACGCAAAATATTGAAATTGACAATGTATGACGTTAGATTTTCGTCACAAACCGACATCAGTTAAAAAAAGATCATTGGAAGTCATCAGGGGGAACTACACAGTTCCTTAGTCATCGTCATTTGAGACTCTTCAGCAGTGTGCATCCAAGACCCTGTGCCAGAGATTGAATCACACAAATCCTTTAATCTGAATATCAATTGTCAGCTCACTGATTTATTCAGCAATTCCTTTTTTTCACTTCCATACCCTCTCCTCTTGAACTTTTGTATCACATCGTGTATAAATGCATTCTAGTTGAAATTTCTGTCATTTTCCAGGTTACCTTCTCTAGCCCTACACTGGACCTTCTGTCTTTTGCAAGACTTAGCATTGACTAGTAAACTGAGCGATTGTCAGAAAAGATTAGAAACGTGGAAATCTGGCAATGAAACGAGCAAACCAACAATCTATTGCCTAGCAAATATGCAGTGGGAAATTGAGATGGATTGCACACACGCTGAAGAGACCACTGTGAGACACTACATACTATCTCTGACTTAGTAGACGTGATATCCATCCGGCTGGTTGTCGACCAAAGAGCCCACCACATCGCTATGTCCTCCTTCATGGCTGGCTGTCAGCGAGACATGGCCATTGGAAGAAAGTGGAAGACATGAAAAACCTGAGTAGTTGTCTTTTATCATGCGTGTCTGCATTCTGTTTCCCTTGTTAGGCGGTATAATAAGGTGGACAATATTGACGTTAGACTTCGGTCGAGTGCTAGGTAGGTGGAAGGGGGAATCAATCAATCGACGAGGTTGCGAAGCAGATGCACTGATTGAGGTGGTTAGGACATGTGCTACGCATGCACATCTAGCCATCGCCTGCCTTCCCCAACCGACGGGCAATGTTAGCTGACTGATATAGACTGGATCAGGTTCAAACCCAGGACCTTCTGGTTACATGGCGAGCTACTCGTAGACCATTAAGCCACTGGAACCCGATCCAATGGTCAGTCCATGAATTCTAACTTCTGTCAATTCGTAGCACAGCGCGACCGATAGCAAATGTCTTCGGCGACTGGCCCTATTCAGGCAGGTTGTTATCCGGGGTTCTAGTGGGAAGTCGTGACCAGTAGGGTACAGCAGGTTGGGTGTGAGGACAAATACTTTCTTTCAGTGGCCATGTCTCGCTGACAGCCAGCCATGAAGGAGGATAGAACAACCTAGTGCGCTGAGCAGTACACACGCCCTTTGGTCGACAGCCAGCTAGTCGGATATCACGTCAACCTAGCCAGAGATGGTGTAAGTCGGCGTATGCCAAATGAGCCTTTTGTAACTGGTTCTGAGATTTCATCAGCGATCAACCCGTTGGGGCTAGCTGATGCAATTCCCCAAATAAGTGAAGTGATCAACACGCCCCACCACCAACCACTTCACCCCTGCCTATCTTTAGGTTAGGAGTGAGTCAATATAGTCCAGTCCTGTAGGGAAATCAATCGACGAGACTGTGAAATTACATCGATTGAGATGGCTAGGACATGTGTTACGTATGCCTAGTCATCGCCTTCCTCGTCGGGTAATGTTAGCTAGCTGACATAGGGTCAGGCTGGAAAAGAGCTAGCTAGCGATGATCAAACCAAAACATGGCTTCATCAGACAATGAAACCCACAACAGTTAGTTTAAGCCAGCCAGCCACGTAGGAATGTGTAGACTTCCTGGTTAGGGTCCTCGGGACGGTAAAAACCAATGGTTGGAAATAATTGGTGACATGGCTCAAAATCGTTCTCAATGGCGCAGATGTATCCATTCCTTGTGACTCATGATTTCCAATGAAACTGTTTTGTTCTTCATTATTACTATTCCTTTGTCTCACACCTCAACTTTCTGTCTATATTATGCATTTCTTCTACTTTCTTCTCTTGCTTTGTGTGCTACAGAGAGGGAGTGTGGCGACTTGAACTGCCGCACATATGTGCAAAGTTCTATGTCGAAAACAGACAAACAGACAGTGCTGTAGCATTAGCATCTTACCTTTGACAGGAGTGCATCGCATGCCAAACATTCGAAGATTACTGCTCCTTAAGGTATTTAGCAGATTCTGGATTTTGTCAGTGTCTTCACTGAGAAGCATAATCAAAGTAAACGAGATTGCTCCCTGGTAGCAACTATTTCTTTATAAGAAAAGATGTGACTGAGTCACTGAATTCTAGTCAATGTGATTGAATGATCAACGGTTACATTTCACTACGTAAACTTGATATCATAGAAAAAATCCTCTCTATTTTAAGAAAATAAGTATGATTTTTGTTTGTTTTTGAAACCGTATTGATTAATTTATCAATCAATGAACCAATCACAACGTGATGTATATATGTATATGTATATCATAACAGTGACACCCATTATCAGCTGACTTGAAATGATGATTTATTTTTCGAGGAAAATTTTGTTTTTGTTTTGTTTTGTTTTGTTTTTTCATTTGAATTAATTTGTTTATCTCTGTTTTACAAAATCATCTGTCTTTTTGTCTGTCTCCATGGTCATACATGTACACACACACAAACATGCATACAACATACTGGCACAACATGTGAATGGTTGAATGCATGCATGGATGGATGGACGGACGGACGGATGGACTGATAGATGGCGAAAAATCACAAAATTCTAATCAATAAATAAATATAAATTGTATCACACCGGTTTTGATGTAAAATTCAGTACAGCATGCTATCGGGTTTGTTTTGATTTCTTCCAATGTAGATTATGTCATGAATTAAATTCCGTTAGAGAGAAACTAAGCCATTGAAAACTTAGGAGCATTAGCTAGATAGTTGTTTCGTCTTAGAATGGGACTCTTCATCCGTGCCCAGACACGACTACATACACCACCACTACCAACACCAGGAGAGGATTGAACCCTGGATCTTTAGATTACGAGGCAAAGTCCAAAGCCTCAGGATGGTCGGGGGTGGGTGCCTTGCGCTGCGGGTTGGCCACCCCTCCGCACACCTCTTGAAATGCTCCCATATGACCGGGTGTCTTACATAGCCTCTCTTGAGGAAGTCCTACTCACTGCCTTCACGTGGCGGAGGTGTTTTCCACCAAAGTGAGAGGGCGAAAGCGGATGCCCGGCGCTCTTCACCGGGTTGACTGTCCATTGGATGACAGTCTAGGGGAGATGGCTAAACCCTGATTCCAAACCTCGAACGACTGGCGTATGAAGCTCACTGGAGCTCACCGCCAGACGTATGGACAAAGGGCTTGTTGGATGTCCTGGATGTCTGGCCCCATTCAAAAAGGCGTATGAACCGAACTCCGGTCACCGGCTGCCAATGGATAGTGGACTCCCTACTCCACTCCTACTGCCTTGTAGGTCACACTTGGTTGTGTAAAGGCTAGAGCTGCACTCTCAAACAAAAGGCCGAGCGATTTTGGGGACATCACTCGTACCAAATTCCCATGAAACTTCATGAACTCTCTTACAAACGACTGCATCAGATCGCCGCGCCTGGGCAGCGATGATTCGAGATGTTCATGAAGCCGGCTCATCCTCCCGTAGGAGATAGCCGAAGTAAAGTAAGTAAAAGTCCACTGACCATTCATTCAACCAACTGAATCAAGATTCAATGACCGAATTTCTGTCGATTTATGATTTTACATGAATGATCCAATGTCAATGTTTTACATAAAAAACAACCTCTGACAGTTATCGTCGCAAAAAAAACAGAACAATAATTTGAATGAAAGAGACGAAACAACACTATTTAACATTAATTATCACAGTTGTCAGCAGTTTCATCATGTGTTATACCTGATAGCTCTGAAGATGAAACTTCTTTTATAGCTGTTTCAGGATTAATTTTCAACACTTGTTTAGTGATGCTGAAGACATAAACTCACTCACAGTCTGGCTACACTCATTCGAAATCTAGTCTCATCAGGAAGGCTCTGATTGAGTGCCGTCAGTAAGAATACGTCATCACTTGCTAACCAGGCTTAAATCATGGTCGACCATTTTTTTCTTTAAAACACAGTTTAGGGGAACAAAAGAGCCCGAATGGCTTCTCAGTGGTAACATGTCTGACTGCAATACACTGGATGACATGTGGGTTTGAATCTCAGGCGAGACATGTGTTTTATCAAGGTTGGAGACACGCCTTGTTGATGAGTGACAACAAGTACGAAAGCTTGGGGTCAAGCAAGGCATCCTGTCGACTGCTCCCCAACCATCTAACAACATTAACCTATAACTCTATCATATATGTATGAAGCTGCATCGGTGGTTTAATAGTGAAATGCCCGCCAACCACCCTAGTCGACGAACTCCGAAACTTCGCTTAGCCGATTGTAAGGTAGACTGGTAAAAATGAAAAGATAGTTGTGGAACTAGCAATCGCATCCTGTAAAAAGGGGAACACTACTGCTACTGCGTCAGACAGTGGGAAACGAGAAGACAGGGATATCCTGGACCACCAACGTGAAGAACCTAGAAGACCTGGATTTCGCACGTGGATGATTTATGTTTGATGTCATACAAAATCGAAGACTTACAAGTGAAAACCGACAAACTGGTCGAAGAGGCTAGCAGCAAAGACAGGACTCCAGGTGAACATAGACAAGAGGGAGGTTATGAAAATAACCAACCAACAACAACAACAGCAGCAGCAGCAACATCCAGCGCCAATCACCATCAACGGGAGGGATTTGAAAGAGGTTACTTCATTCACTTACTTATCTAGGGAGCATTGTCTCAACTACAGGAGGAACGGACGAGGATGTCAAATCGAGCGAGAATCGGGAAGGCGAGAAACACATTCATCATCAACCTGAAACCAATCTGGAAATCTTCCACTGTCACTCAACTCAGCATCAACAACAAAATGATTCGGATTTTCAATACAAACGACGTCAAGTCAGTCAGTTCTTCTATACGGATGGATCAGAAACTTGGCCAGTGTGTCACAAAGAATGAGCATTTCCAACAGCCTGTTGCAGACCTTTATCAACAACTGTCTTCGCTGGCTCTATACTCAAGATCAGATGGCCGGAAAGAATCACCAACAAGAAACTATGGGAAGAAACAAAACAAGAACCAATCGCCCAACAAATATGTAGGAGAAAGTGGAGATGGATTGGACACTCACTGAGCTGAGGAGGCCGTTGGGTGACATCGCTCGTCAGGCCATAGCTCGAGTGGAAGCCGAAAGGGAAGCGGTGAGTGGGACGTCAGTGCAAGGGTGACATGGAGGAGATCGTGTGAAGAGGAGTTGAAACAGTATGGACTTAGATGGATGCAGGTGAAAAGTACAGCAGAAGACAGAAGGAAGTGGAGGCGTGCAGTTGAAGCCGTATGTTCCACTAGGAACCCAAGGGAACAATAATAATAATACTGCCACTGAAACTTCAAAGCTCCAAAGCTCGGAACGTCAGAGAAGCAAATAAAAAATTTGAAAAAAAACTAGGGGAGGAAGGAAGGAGTTAGTCAGAGCTGGGACTCAACCCGTAGCAAATTTTGACTGACTGGTTTCAACATAGAACTGTGCATAGATGTGCAGCACTTTGAGTTGTCACACTCCATATAACACATAAAAGGAGAAAAGGATAAGGCATATTAACAATGGAGAAACATTAAGATTGAATGGATATGGCAGGTCACAAAGGGTGAATGGTTCTGCTTCACTGAGAACGGCTTTAAGCCACATCACCATTTGTCTCCAGACATTGGTTTTCACCACGTAGTCCCGAGGACTCCAACAAGGTAGTCTATACCCTCACCCTACGTGGCTGACTGGCTGGTTTAAACTAACTGTCGAAGATTTCATGGACTGACTCCATGTTTTCGTCTGATCACCACTAGCTAGCTTTCTCTTTTCCAACCTGATCCATCCTATGCCAGTCTGCCTGTCTGTCTGGATTCAACATAGAACTTGGCACCGAAGTGCAGCAGTTCCAGTTGCCACGTTCCAAATACCACACAAAGGTAGACAAGAAAATCAGTGGAGAGAATCAATAGAGTTTTGACAAGTATAAGAGTGAAACAGAATGAGTAATGGTAGAAAGGAATATGAAAGATTACAAAGACTGAATACATCTGCGTAAGCCATTGACAACGATTTTGAGCCATGTCACCTAGTGTCTCCAGCCATTGATTCTTAGAGTCCCGAGGGCGGGCCCCAACCCGGAAGTCTGCATCTCCCTACCTGACTCAGTTTAACTGACAAGGATTTCATGGATTGATGAGGCCATGTTTTTGTTTGGCCACCACTTACTCTTTTCCAACCTGCACCTATATCAGCTAGTAATGCCCGTCCGTCGGGGGAGGCGATGGTTAGGCATGTGCAGCACGTGACCTAGCCATCTCAATCTATGTAACTTTATAGCCTCGTCGATTGATTTTCCCTCCTTGCCCAACACTCTACGCCTAAAGTCAACATTACTTACCTTATCATGCCACCTAACGTGAGAAAGAGATCGTAGACATCTATGATCAAAAACAGTCAACCTTTTCATGTCTTCAACTCGTATTGGCCATGTTTCAGAGCAACAGAGAAGGATGGAGCGAACTGCTGAGCAGTACACACGTCCCTTGGTTGATAGTCGGATGTCAGTCAGCTAACAGGCAGTAGCTCTAAATGCATAACACCATTTCAATCGATGTAGCTTCCCGACCTAAAGATGATGATATATTACCCAATCGTCTAAGTTGAAAGATGTAGACAAAAAATAGAATTCGAACCTTGTCTGAAAACCACACACTATAAAAAGCCAATGAACCGTATTCTCTTCACAAACGAGTAACCAATAAAGTACAAAACTTGTGTACAATAGACGTGATTAGGAAGACAATTTCACATCCCTAATCGATAACCACCATGAGAAGGAAATTCCATTCTACGAGACGGAACAAAAAGTTGCTCTATGCGTCAGTGGCACAGTGGTTAGGACTCTCACCGACCGACCATGCGCACATAGTCCGGGGTTCGATCCCCTGCCAGCCTGCAAAATTTGAGCTACGGATATCACATGCTAAAAATTCCAGACTTGTACCAAAAATACAGTGAGGAATCAAGGCATAATCAAAACAAAAAAATGTGTGTGTGGGATATAATAAAAAACTCACTTGAAATGCCAATAAAACACCAGGTGAATCAGGATGATGCAGGCGAAGAACAGCAGGATGTTGTCGATTTTGATGTTGATGCTGTGGCTGCTGATGACGATGATTGACTTCTTTTGTTTGATAACTTTTCACCACATCTATATCTTTATGTAGATCTGATCCATTGGTTAATTCATTCATCTTTTGACACGACTTCTGACCAGTAGAACTTCGAGAATGTATCCAATTATGCGATGGGAAATTTGATATTCGTTTGTTAATATTATTGTTTTTATCATTGTTTACTAATTTAATCCCATTATCCATCATAGGAAGAGGAGTAGTAGACTCGATAATCCGATTAGCAGTGTCATTAGTACTCATCACAGCGGTAGTGGGAGTTGTCGTCTATTGATGCCGCCGCATCGTTGTGTCGTAGTAGTATTTGACTCATCTGTTTTCAAGGCTATATCAGCTAACAAATCGAGTGAATTTCTATCAACACCATCTCGAACAACATCCAGTGTTTTAGTCGATTTCAACGACACATCCCCATTACTCTCTGATGATGCTGTTGATGCTGCTGACGATGCTGACGAAGAAGAAGCAGCAGAACAATGACAGCCTATATTGATTTGATGATAATTAGCAATACGATGTAATCGATGAATCAATCTGCCTATAATACCAGAAGGCAGTAAAGATGTCAGCAAAAGTCGATTTGGATCATGATGTTGACGTGTTGTAGTACATGATGCCCAACCGTGTGGACCACCACCACGACCTAAAATAAAAATTAAAAAAAAAAAGATACATAAAGTTTCAATGTAATTTGTGTTAACATTTTACGTCACTGATAGTTGATGTTGTCATACATCAACAATTCATAGTTGGACGTTGACGGCCTGCTTAAAACTTGGGCTACATAAAAAACTTCCATCTCTCTCTATTGCATATAATTTTTCTCTCGTTCGGTTTGTTTTAATCGATTGAGTTATGACCTCTGATGGTATTATCTACTCTTGTGGGTATTTAAAATTTTTACAAGCTTCTGACTTCCAAGTTCCTACTAAAATCTGAAGAATGGCCTGATTGTGGGTGGCAGTGGGTTCCAATACATGACAGAACTGTTCTTCAGTTATGTCCTTTGATCGCGAAATGTACTTCTGAACATCTTACAATTGGCTTTCAACCAGATTTCGTGGATTATTTTGGACGAGACGAAGCAGATATATCATAATAGAATGGTTTGTGTTTCAGCTCAGAGAGAGCATTGCGTCACAGGATATACTGTCAATTGATACTTTACTTGAAGATATTGATTGCACGAAGGGAAAATGCCATGCAAAAACTCCTCTGGAAATCCTGTACATTTTATAAATACTGTCTAGAATAAAGATGGTGTTATTATTATTATTAGGAGTGTGTCGGCTAGGGACCGAACCCTAACCTCTTGAAGTTGTCGACGAGTTCGTGTATCTGAGTAGTTGTGTGAGTGCTGACAGGCATAGGTCTGATGGACGATATCTCTAACCGTATAGCGAAAGCTAGGGTGTCATATACGAGTCGAGGCCACCTTTGACACCATTGTGATGTCAGCCTCACTGTCAGAGGTTAGGTTTACAATGCTTCAGTGCACTCACACTTGCTTTAATCCTGTGAAAACTAGTTTCTACCAGGTGAGGATGTGAGGCGACTTTGTGTATTCGATCATCTCTGTATCCGTAGAATTGCTTGCATCCCATGGCATCATCATGTGAGTAATTCTGAGGTCCAGTAGCGTGTATTTGGACATAGTGAAGGCCATCATTCATTGAGTATCACCGTCTAGAAACGCTGACGTTGTTGGCTTCAACATATGTTCCGAATGTCATCCCATAGGCTCCAGTACCGTTTTCTGTTCGCTAACCATGGGACTGGATGAAAAAGGTGGAGAGAGGTGGTCAGCGTATGACGTGACGTCGTGGGATGAAGGTTTTATTGTGTTGTTAGCTTAGCATCAGTTAACACACATCACAACTCCGTGGTTGGGTTCCGAGAGGTAGTTTGGACTAGTGGCTAGAAAGGTCACTAGATATGACCAAGAATTTCAGTCATTGGCGAGCATGCTACAATTTCCATCTTTCTTACCCTTCTGAAAGTACCATGAAGTAATAAATTTTGAAAAATATGCTTTCTTGTTTTATGGATGACGTCCCTCTCCTTGATTACTTTACGTATTGATGTGTGACACACTTCCTTGGTGCCTATGGTGTACCGCATTTGTCTTTTAAATTAAGAAAAATATTAGTCGGCCTAGAAAGAGATTGACTGACTGCCAGCACTGCTCAGTATTACGCAATTCTTTAAAATGATGTCAGAAACTTTCGTTCACAGAAATTAGAATAACATTGCATTGTATGACGATAAAATAAAACCACAGGGAATGCTTTGAAGTTCGCTAGAGTAGTAACTCTATGACTCGAACACTTTTGTTTACAATAAGCTATAGGTAGGAAGTATAAAATACATGTTATTTGATTGAGAGTGACTAGAGTAGTAGGATCCACGGGGGCGCAGTGTCCTGTACGTGGGAAGATTACCGATTACTGAAGAATCTCAAGCAGGACGAAATGCGCCTCCTGGATACTGCTGCTAGCTCCCACACCACCCAAAATAACATCATGTTAATATCCTCACTAAAGAGTGCACACTTCAATAAACAGATCGAATATTTCGATTCAGCAAAAATCAATCGAAAAGAATTAGAAACAAAAAAAAAACATCAATAGGCACAAACCTCGTGAATGCTTTGATTTGCTTTTCTCCACAACTGTACCATTTTCATTGATTTTTCTATCTGAATTAACTGATGAATTGTTGGTTAGTTTAGATTCATCTAAACAATCTGTACAAACAGAATAACCACATTTGGCACAAACCCAATGTGTATTAAACATTGTTGTATCACAAACATCACACATTTCACGTACTCCTTTGACAGGTTTTTTCCATGCAATCAAGTTAGTATTATCACCAACACCACCTTCATTATTGTTATCATTTTTATTAACACTATTTGAATTCGATTTTCCATTTCTACCAGACAATGAGGTGATTTTTTGAAATTCTATATGATTGGAATTATTACCATTTAGCGATGTCAACTCTTGATGAAGTAGACGACAGAAAAGACCTCCAGCACATTCCACAATATAGCGGGCAGCATATGCGCTTAGAAAAGGTGAAACTGAAATAAAAAGAAATAAAAAGACATTGGATTCGAACAGATATCATGAAGAAGATCAATTAGGAGACCTCACTCACATCCAGACAGTGTACATCTACAATCTCATCAAGAGTTCAACACGAAACATTCAGGTTACAAGTGCCCATGTTAATATGTAGGTGCCAATTAAATATTCAATTATGAATGCATTCCAACTTGTTTTCAGTTCACGATATTGCAACGACACTTACCGAATGTCGCCACAAGTCACAGACTTAATACACACCTTTCTCCCTCTCACCCTTGGGTGAAACCGATCACAACCTCACACTAAAAAATTCCAGGAGATTCACCTCGAAACCAATCAACAGTCGATATATATCCACATGTTACCGTCTAATGGTATACACTGATGAAAAGTCTCCAACTAGGACGAAACTGTCTTAAGATAAATTAGCATATTTTCTGATTATTAAAAGTAAATCATGTAGCTCAGATGAGTGATGTACGGGTCGATAAAGTGAATAAAAAAGGATTCAGTAACATTTGGAGGACCACTGAAAACCTTGTAATCGGTTCGGTGCTGAAGAGTCCCAAACTGGGACGAAACAGCTATCGAGGTCTATACTGACCAAGTTCATGCAAGCTAATGATCAAGAGAATAAAGAATAGATAAATCAACGTTACTGTAACCAGTTTTATGATATATATTACCAATGGATTTGAAGCTATTCACAATCAAGTAACCTCTTCTGAAACTATAGCCATGCAATTAGGCCCAGACTGATAACCAATTCTAACGTTTTCCTGTTATTCACTCCTTTTATCTCATTCTTTTAATTTCCAATTGGAGCATGAGTTTCAGTAACAGTAGAGATATTTGTAGAGGGTGAAGTTGCCAGCCTCACGGACAACCTTCTATTGTCACCGGTCTTACTGCTACTACCGGATAGCAGCAACGTTTCATAGTTTGTCATCTGGCAATCAAATCCAGCACTACATAAGGCATGGTTAGCAAACAATCTACCTCTAAATCACTGGCGTATTCACTCGAATTCCAGTCAATACGATTTGTTAGGACTAAAGAGGTGATGATTTATCATGCATGATTATTATTATTATTATTGTTCCCTTGGGTTCCTAGTGGAACATAGGGCTTCAATTGCACGTCTCCACTTGTTTCTGTCTTCTGCTGTACTTTTCACTTGCATCCATGTTAGTCCATTCTGTCTCAACTCCTCTTCACACGATCTCCTCCATGTCACTCTTGCACTGACGTCTCACTCGCCGCTTCCCTTTCGGGTTCCACTCGAGCACTGGCCTGACGCGCGATGTTACCCAGCGGCCTCCTCAGCTCAGCGAGTGTCCAATCCATCTCCGCTTTCTCCTGCATATTTGTTGATGGCGATTGGTTCTTGTTTTGTTTGTTTGTTCCCATAGTTTCTTGTTTGTGATTCTTTTCGGCCATCTGATCTTCAGTATAGAGCCAGCGAAGACAGTTGTTGTTGATATAGGTATGCAACAGCTGTTGGAAATATTCTTTGTGGCACACTGGCCCAAGTTTCTGATCCGTGTAGAAGAACTGACTTGACGTCTGTATTGAAAATCCGAATTTTGTTATTGATGCTGAGTGGTGTTCCACGCATGATTCCTCAGTGATGTCACGTAGTGTTTCCTGCTTTGCTCTGACAGTTACAGTGAAAGTGTCCTTCAGTTTTTGAGTGTTAAACTTGCATTGTGGCCTATCCCAAGCTATCCTCGAGGCTTTTAGCTTCATCCTAGAACCCACATCTGCTCCTCTCCTCGATCTTGTGTCCAGTAGGCTCCGTCTCCACTTCCTTGACATTGAAATGAAGTCTATCTGGTTTTTGGTGTGTCCATCTGGTGAAATCCATGTCGCCTTGTGCTTGAACACAGTGCCACCAATCACCAAATCATTGAAGGCGCAGAAGTTTGAGAAGAGTTCACCATTGTCGTTCATGCATGATGATATATACACATATATTCCAGTCAACAATAAATATTCATCCTATTGACTGTCTTTATCTACCTACACCTTGACTAAACAAACTTCTAAGGATTACCCTTCTATAAATAGATCACACTTATTGAGCGAGCAGAAAGCTTTCTTCTATCGAAACAGCTGACTAGCATCATCACATGCTTCGTAAAAACGTTCTTTTAAGAATAAAGAAAATCTCTCCAATTTTTCTTTTTCTTCTTTGCAACAAAATGTTTTGCTTTGAAAAAAATTAGGTTTTCTTTTCAGCAGCAGCAGCAGCAACAACGACAACAACAAAAAAAATAACTCAGTAAAAATGAAACTGAAACTTTTTTCTGTGGAAAAAAACAAACAAATCCATGTTTAACAAATTCTTGTTAAAGCAGACGAAAAAACAGCAGAGGATAACAAAAGAGAACTGGAAATAACACAATGAAAGCGTATAAAGAAGAAGTCTGTCTGTCTGTATTCGACACAGAACTTTGCACATACGTGCAGCAGTTCAAGTCACCACACTTCTTCGCTGCAGCACGCAAAGCAACAGAAGAAAGTAGGAGAAATGCATAATATAGACAGTAAAAAGAGGTGTGGGACAAAGGAATAGTAGTAACGAAGAACAATATAGTTTCATTGGAGATTATAAGTCACAAGGAGTGGATGCATCTGCACCAGCCATTGAGAACGATTCTGAGCCATGTCACCAATTGTTTCCAACCATTGGATTTTACCATCCCGAGGACCCCCTAAGTGGCCTAAACTAACTGTTGTAGATTTCATTGACTGGTGCAACCATGTTTTGGTTTGACCACCGATAGCTCTTCTCCAGCCTGACCCTATATCCATAATGGATAAGAATTTATTTTTAAATCACACAGTGTAGTACAGTTATATTAACTGTTACAGTTATATTAACTGTACAGTTATATTAACTGTTAACAGTTAATATAACTGTACTACACTGTGTGATTTAAAAATAAATTCTTATCCATTATGGAGTTATACTCTACCACAGTGCCCAAGTTTTATACTTATATCAATGACCCTATATCGGCTAACATTGCCCGTCGACGAAGGCAGTGGCTAGGTATACACGCAACACATGTCCTAACCATCTCAGTCGATGTAATTTCACAGACCCGTTGATTGATTTCCCCTCCCATCTACCTGGTACTCGATGCCTAACCTCAATATTGCTCACCCTATTATATCATTGGCCACATAGGTTACGTCACTACCGACAGACTTGGTCTCAAACGAGCGAAACAGCTGTATTTTGGAATCACTTCGATCTGGTGTTTAATGTGAATGGCACACAACTACTACTACTCATATCAATCGGTCGGTAGTACGCAGCGTCATGCATTTACGCTTGCTGTCTTGATTGCTATTTCTGGCGGTATCAAGTAGATGACATTGTGGCGGAAAATCCCTCTATGAATGATGTATTTACAATACTGTTGCTTATTTGGATATTTTTCGCTAACGAGTTGTGTTACTTCCTTCACTTATCTCACCATGAAGCACGCTTTCAACCACAGGCAATCGGAAAGGATGAAGATGTCAAAGCTAGCCAGAATCGTAAAAGGCAAGATGCACCTTCATCAACCTGAAACCAGTTTGGAAATCTTCTACACTCCGCCTCAGACTAAACAATAAGATTCGCATTTTCAGCACAAATGTCAAGTCAGTCAGCCAGCACTTCTATACGGATCAGAAACTTGCACTGCGCTCACTTCTGTAACAGTATTTCCAGCAACTTACAGACTTTTATTAACAACTGCCACCTTCTCCGGCTCCCTAGTGAAGATCAAATGGCCAGCCAGCCGGCCAACCGGCCAGGAAGAATTAGCAACAAAAAACTCTGGCTGGCTGGGAACAAACTAACCAAGAGCTGATTGCTCAACAAGTGGATATGTAGGAGAAGAAAGTGGAGATGGATGGATTCGGCACACGACATTGAGGAGACCGTCAAATGACATCGCGTGCAATGCAGGCCATCACTAGAGTGGAATTCCAATGGACAGTGAAGAGTGGGTCGTCAGTGTGAGGGTAACATGGAGGAGATCGTGTGTTGGGGAGGAGGATATGAGAGATTATGGTCAATCGTGGACGCAGCTGAAGAAGACAGCAGAAAATAGAAGAAAGTGGAGATGTGTTGTTGAAGCACTATGTTCCACTCGGAACCTAAGGGAATAATAATAATAATAATAGTTGTCTAATTATTCACCTCATTTTTCCTTGACCTGTATGTATCAACGTTCCAACATGATACATGCATACCTTCTTTTTGATTTAATCCTTATTATTGATTGATATTTGTTTTTAGTTGATTCCTTCCTATTCCTAATGGTGGACTGGTGTCATGACAATGTGTTAGTTTTAAGATTGAGATTTTGTTTGAATGAATATTTCATGAATATTCTGTGAATAACTTCTAACCTCGAAATATCCGCGGGAAATGTGTTTGACTCTTGCTTAATAGATTTGTGATCCGTTTATTTTGATAAAATCACAGTGTTGTACAGTAAGTAATATTTACTGATGACCACGTTTCGTGCACAAATTATTGCCGCTCATAATCACATCAAGATGCTCACACAACTTTCTTGCTTAATTTATATACATGCGTAAAAATTGATGATTAGACATTTGAATAAAATCAATATATATATGATGAAATGAAACAGATAGAAGAAGCGTTGGTGTTAAATAACTAGGCCGGTCAGAAAAGGTCATAAGCAAAATAAAAATTACAGTGAAACTAATAATGATAAAATAAATGAGAGAAAATAAGACATCTACTGTTATACAATATAAGGAGGGGACATCTGAGACTCTATGCTGGGTTCTTAGTAAAGCATGAATTAGGGTAGTATTCAAACCTACAAACTCACTCAGATAAGACAAGCTCTGTAGGCTAAACGACTCTGTCGGTGGACCCAATTAAACAAAATAATATAATTAACAAAATACCCTGCAATGACTGTGAATGAGGTCAACTACATAGGTCAAACTAGTAGATAAGGTGTATTGAGATTATCAGAACACAAGAATTTAGCTAAGGTTAGAATGGTTGACCCCACCCATGCAGAGAAGTGATTTAGAAAAATACTCAGCAATTGCACTGCATGTATTAAAACACAACCACACAATAGGGTGGGTGGGTCGGAGTCCAAATTTTAAAAAGTAATATAGGTAGGTGGAGATAGAGAAAGATTGATTACTGAATCCTGACTGGTTCATCGAGTCTACATTCAACACATGCAACAGAAGTGACTCAACGCAAATATCAGAGATATGAAAGATAGTATTACCAGTCCAGTTAGAAGAGAATAAATGATGTTGAAATGTATTTCATTTCACATTTTAACATTATAACAAGTTACTTATTTTGACTATAAAAACACTCGTCTTATTTCCCATCTAACTGTATTTGATTGATAACACTAATATTATTATTTCCGAACGCACTTTATCATCCTATATTGACTTTATTCAAATGTCTAATCATCAATTTTTACTCATGTAAATAAATGAAGCAAGAAAGTTGTGTGAGTGAGTGTCTTGATATGATTATGAGCAGTAACAATTTGTCCTCGAAACGTGGTCGCATCAGTAAATATTACTGTACAACACACTGTGTGACTTCATCAAAATAAAAATCTTATCCATAATGGAGTTACTTGGTTTTTGGTCGTTACAGACATATTGTGTATATGTGTGTTTGTATGTGTGTGTCTGAATAGTTTCACTTTCCACCACTAAGAGAAACTGCAGTGAAATAATCACCCCCTTCTCGAACTGAATAGATTTCAAATTGCAGAATCAATTGAAGAAAAAAACAACGACACTGAAGTAGAACAAAAAGGCACAGGGAAACTGTCGTCAAAGAATAGAGGAACTAAAGTGAAACTCAGTAAAGAAAAAAAATTAAGAACTTTTGCATTCCATGCATTCCAACTGGATGAAGTCTCTGCTCCTACACACACAACCCTCCTCTCTCCTTTTCACATTTACAATCTATTTGGACAAGGTTCGAAACCATGTCCGTAGGTAGACTGCCAAAACTCCGATCTGGTGAGCAATCAATCCTTGTAGAAACATCAACACATATCGATTAAGAATAGCACAAAATACATTAAAATGCACAGCAACAAAATATGTTTCACGATTTCATCATGAGCTGACATTAGTTAGAGAACCATTGGAAAACCTACAGGGAGTACTGGACAGCTGTTTCGTCCTAGTTTGGGACTCTTCATCAGTACTCACCCACCAGGATTCAAACCCAGGACCTTCTGGTTCCAAGGCGAGCTAGCTCATAGACCATTAAGCCACTGGGACCCGATCCAATGGCCCATGAATTCTAACTTCTAACCAGAAGGTCCTGGGTTCGAATCCCGGTGGGTGCGTACTGCTGAAGAGTCCCAAACTAGGCTGACGAAACAGCTGTCCAGTACTCCTAGGTTTTCCAATGGTTCTCTAACTAATGTCAGCTCATGATGAAATCCTAAAACCAATCAAATCCCTACAAACCAACACTTGAATAACAAAAAATGTGTTCATAATTTAAAAAAAAAATAAAAATAGTGTAGCGTAAACAAATCCGAAAGAGAAAAGTCACACCCAACTAACTAACTAGAAAATACGTCAATATAAGAGTAAACAAACAATATATATATTATATCCCGACTTACCTGGATGATACATCTCCCATAGAGAACGTTCTAAAGCATCCGATTCAGTAGATCGACAAAAATCTGCTATTTTTAATACACCACGATTATTGTAACATAATCTATGGTGTTGTTGTGTTTTGATTCGGTGTTTTGTGTAAAGTGTTATAGGCGTGCGAGTGTGTTCATCACATTAACAACCACAATAGAAGTCACATGATCAAAATACCCAAGGAGAGAAAAAAATATAAAAAAAGAAAAACGAATAATTTTCTTAACATAAACAATAATCAATTAAGAAACTGTGCATTATCTTTTAAAAAAATTCTTACACATGAACTTTTTTCAATGATTTTTCGCACAATTCATGCCTGATGATGATGATAATAGTGATCGTAAGGTGTTTCTGCACATTACTATTATATGATTGTTGTTTCCTTTAATTCTTAGAAAAATATAGGGCTTCAGCTGCACGTATCCATTGTGTTCGGTTCTCTGCCAACGTTTTCACTTGGCTCCACGTCTCTCCGCATGCTTTCATCTCCTCTTCACATCACCTCCACACCTCCTCCATGTCACCTCACCCTAGCACTGACGACCAACTCGTCACTTCCCATTCAAGTTCCACTCGAGTGATGGCCTGGCATGTGCTGTCACTCACTTGATGGTTTGTTTTCTCAGAGTATGGCCAGCCAATCCACCTCCATTTCTTCCTGCATATTTGTTGCACAATTCTTTCCTGTTGGGTTGGTTCACTCATTGCCAGAGATCCCTTCCTGTTGCTGATCTTTTCTGGCCAGCCACCTGATCTTGAGAGGTATTGAGAGAAGACAGCTGTTGATGAAGGTGTGTAGTTTGTTCGAAGTCCCCTTCATGATGCGGTGCGGCGTCAAGTCTCTGATCCGTATAGTAAGTAGCACTTACTTTGCATTGGAGTTGAAAGTTCGGATGTTATTTTTCATGGTGACTTGTGTTGTTGATCTATTTCCATACAGACTTGAGAGTAATGAAAGCTTGCCTTGCTTTCCCGATCCTTGCTATGATATCTTCGTCAGTCCCGCTTGTAGTTGAAACGATGCTTCCTAGGTAGGTAGGTAGGTGAAGGAGGTTGCTTCTTTCAGACTCCACCTATTTATGCTGATTGTTGTCTGTTGTTTCCACATATACCATATGAGTGAGGATTAGAGAGGTTTCGAGTGCATTTCGGATTGTAAGGGCGGTTGTTACTTGCCGGCTGCCCACACCGTGGAAGTTGCTTGCGTGACCGCAGAGCCCAGGGGACTACACCGACACCTAGACTAGAAATAGGAAGTGAAGTGGTAGAGCACGTTGACCGCTTCACTTACTTAAAAAGTACCATCAGCCAGTGCCAACGGGTTGATCTCTGACGAAATCTCAGCTGAGTACGGATACAGAGGGCTAGTTTCGCATATGCCAGTTTACGCCGTCTCTCGCATAGTAGACGTGAGACCTGGCCATTGAGAGTGGAAGACATGAAAAGATTAGCTGTCTTTGATCATAGGTGTCTGCGTTCTATCTCCCACGTGAAGTGGTATATTAAGGTGAGCAATATTGAGGTTAGGCGTCGAGTGCTAGATGAGGAGGGGAAATCAATCGACGAGGCTGTGAAATTACATCGACTGAGATGGTTGGGACATGTGTTACACATGCACGTCTAACCATTGCAGTCTTCCTTGACCAACGGGAAATGTTAGCTGACTGAAATAGGATGAATCAGGCTGGAAAAGAGTTAGCTAGTTAGTGGTGGTCAAACCAAAACCAACATAGCTTCATCAGTCAATGAAATCCACAACAGTTAGTTGAAGCCAGTCAGCCAGCCAGTCACGTAGGAAGGTGTAGACTGCCTGGCTGTCTGTTTGGGGTCCTTGGGACCACGTTGTAAGAACCAATGAAGGCTGAGGACAATTGGTGATATGGCTCAAAATCCTCGTTCCCAATGGCTGATACAAAGGCATCCACTCCTTGTGATTTATCATATCCAATGAAACTCTATTGTTCTTCCATATTACTATCCCTTTTGCCTCACATTTCTGTTTATTATCGATTTTTTGAACCTCCCTTTACTCTCTTCTCTTACTTTGTGTTCTACAAGGAGGGAGTGTGGCAACTCGAACTGCTGCGGATCAGTGCAAAGTTCTACGTTGAAACTAGCCAGTCAGTCAGTCAGTTAAACATTGACACAAAACAGAATTGTTAACCACCGCGTTATTGCATCACACACACACATGCATATATATTTATGTCTGACGGACGGATAAAATATGCACGTAAATATGAAAAAGGCAATATTTCTTTCTTTTGTTTATTAGAAAAATGCAAATTCTCGTATGATGTTATTTTCGCCTTAAATAACACAAACACTGAAAGAAAGGCATTATAAATATGAGGAAAATACACAAAAGAATGGAAACAAAAACAATTAATTATATCATTACAATAAAAGATCGATAACGAGACACATTTCATGTCTAACATTTCCTGCTACTACTACTACTATTATTCCCTAGATAGACATACAAATAAACGCTAATAAGCATTTTATGAACACAGTGAGTGATAGAATGACGGTTACAATGGTGGTATGCCTAAAATGTGTCTATCGTGAAAAACCCTAAGTGACCAATCGTAGCTAACGCTTAGGTGGGTCATATACGAAAAGAGGCAGGCATAAAAAATATGATAGATTACGCTATCAAGATTATGACTTTTCAAAACACAAAATCTTATGGTTTTAGCTGGCTTCACGAGTGCCTAAAAACATTTTGTTTCATTTTCACACGATCTCCCCCATGTCACTCTTGGACACAGGCACAACTCATCGTTCACATCCCATTCTGGTTACATTCGACTGACTGACTGGACCATGATTTCATTCAATGGTTTCCTCAGAGTGTGTTCAAGTTCATTTGCATATTTGTTGGGGAACAGGATCTTGGATGATTCACCACACTGTCATAGTTCTTTGTAACTTATTCTTTTCAAGCCGACTGGTCATCTAATCTCCAATATCGAGCGAAGACAACGCTGTTGATGAAGGCCTGCAGTAGCCTATTGGAAATGCTTTTCGTGACGTGCATTGCCAAGTCGCTGAACTATACAGAAACATTGACCTGGTATTGTGGTGGTGTGATACAGACAATATATTCCAGCGGAATATGATTCTCGCATATTCCCACAGTTCAATACTGCGTTAGCAACAGAATACGATATATCTATTTGAACATTCTATTTCATGTCGTTTAACTTAAGCCAAAATCACACGCTCAATGATTGGTTAAAGAATATAAACAGCGGTTTGATTAACGGAAAATAAAACTTGGCTTTCGTGTCTTGCCTTCTACTGTTACAGTATTAGTTGGAAAGAACCTGATTTATGTTAAGTAAAGAGGGTTCCTACACTAATTTCAGAAAAATGAAGGTCTGACTTGCTTTTCCGATCCTACCTTTGATATCTTCATCCATGATATCTTTAGTTGAAACGATGTCCCGGTAGGTAAAGGAAAAAAGCGAACTTCATACTTCTTCGGCTGATGGTGATTGATGATTGTGAGATATCTTCATCACCTTGGTCTTCTCTGTGTTCACTTGAATTCCTGTCTTCGCTGACTGCTTATCCTGTCTACTTGTTGGTTTCTGCCAGCTGATCTTTGAGTTTATGTCTAATGTCACATAGACTTCCTGACAGTCTGTCTGGTTGGGGCCCTCGGGACCACGTTGTAAGAACCAATGAAGGCTGGAGACAACTGATGATATGACTCAAAATCCTCGTTTAGTGGTAATCGAATTTCTCATTGATATTCATTTCTTTCAAGTTTGCCCACGGATTAATATCAGCATGGGATACTGGACAGCTGTCTCGTCCAACTCTGGGACTATTCGCAGTAAGTACTCACTGAGGTTTGAAACCAGGACCTTCTGGTTGCAAGGCAAGCTCGTATTCCATTCACCACCACCACCACCATGTAAGCTAATATGACTCAGTATGGAAGATAATGGCTCATCATGCCTAACATATGGTCTAGTTATCTCAATTGATTCACCTTCACAATCTCATCGATTGACTCGTCCTCCTTAATTGACAATCTATCCTCACTTAACACGGGATACAGAACACAAACATGTGTATTCGAAGACAGATAGTCTCTTCAGGTCTTCCACTTTCAATGGCCATGTCTAAAAACCATAAAGGATTATATTAGATTGTTGGAGGCAGTCGGCCACAGGAAGCCTTGCTTCACCTAGGTTTCGTACTAGTTGGCACTCGTCAGACAGGCGTATCTGACACCTAGAAGGAACTCATATCCCTTCTGAGATTCGAACCCACGTCACCCAGTGCTGAAGTCAGAGACCTTACCACTGAGCTATTCGGGGTCACGATTGACCTCCTGTAGGACTGTAGTGGATACTTTGATTGGACACTGATAACTAGTGTGGTGACGAGTGCCAACTAGCACGAAATCTAGGTCAAGCAAAGCTTCCTGTTGCCGATTGCCTTCAACCATCTAATATCATCGAATCAATGTACACCGTGATGGCGAGCCACCTAGTGGAATGGTGGCCACATTGCAAACCTAACCGATAGACACACCACACTAGTTACTAGTGTCCCCAATCAAAGTACCATAAAGAATGGCCGAGTGAACTGCTGCATTGGTGATATCCGATGGGGATGACGTGAGTTGGTAAATGTGCTACACACAATGGCTCAACTTGGTCTTCTAGTGTAAAGTAAGTAGGTGGAGTGGAGTGGAGTTTAAAACCAAGGACCAGTCACTAAAAAAAATCATTAATAACAAACAGGGTAACAAAAAAAGAATCATTCAAAGAAGAAGAAGAAAGCGTACTCACTTTCTAAAACCCCAAAATCGACAAAATACAGATACAGGTGGTGATGAAGAGTGTGTAACACTGCGTTTATCTTTCAACTTTTCAGTTGTACTCTCCTTCAGTCGATTTTTCTCTGATGCAGTAGAAGAAGAAGAAGCAGATGAACGTCCTGGTGGTGGTCGTTTAAATTGACCACCACCACCACCACAGCAGCTTTGCCATTTTCATCTGAATAACAATTTTGATCATTTCGACTTAAATTGACCTCATCAGCATCATTATTATTGTTGAATAAAGAATGTTTATTCTCTGATGAATAGTGATGATCCTCGGAGTCATCTACACCATTGATAAAATTTGATGGTGAATTTTGTTGATGATAGGTAACCCGAGCATGACGACAAGCACGACATTTTGGTACTTGTTTTAAGCCAACATCACTACAACTAATCAATTGGACAAAAACACGTTGACTGCGTTTGTAAAAATTCAATGAATGCGTGGAATGTAACGATTTATTGGCTGTACGATTTACTAGAAAATTGTGAGGTAAAAAAATGAGAAAAACAAATAAACCATGAATAAACATTTCGATTAAAATATCGATAATTTTGAATATATTTTGAAACCTGTACTTATTGGAACAAGACATATAAGCGAACAATATTGTTGTTTTCAATTAGATCTTCAGGCTTTACTCTAATTTATATAGATTTATATTTTCTATAGTTTGGTTTGTAAGGGTTTGTTATGTTTTTACGAGTTGATCACGGTTGGGGTCGCGCTAAATCACGAATTGGTAGAAGTTAGAATTCATGCACTGGCCATTGAATCAGGTCCCAGTGGCTGAATGGTATACGAGCCAGCTTGCCTTGTAACCGGAAGGTCCTGGGTTCGAATCCCAGTGGTTGTGTACTGCCGATGATTCCCAAAACTAGGATGAAACAGCAGCTGTCCAGTACTCCAGTGCTGGTTTTCAATGGTTCTCTAATAGGTTTATATATAAAATTTTTTAACCAAAGACGGTGATTTTGTGGATCAAATAATAATAATAACAATAATGTGGTAAATGTTTTGAACGTAGTTAATAACGATGATTATAATGATTTTTGGCTCATTTGATTGATAGCGATCACCAAGTGGACAAAAAAATAGTGCCTTCAAAGTTATCTATCGCATTCCATTGAGTCTTTCGAACGGAATCAGAACCCGTCTTTTACACTTAGCCGAAGCTATGGGAATCAATTCGAAAGAACAACGCTAGTCTTTGCTTACAACAAAAGACGTTTGTTCTACCTTTGTCACTCCCTTGTTTGCCTAGGTAAATTCTAATTGAAAACCCTCCCACCCTTTCTTATTTTCCATTTCCTTCGTCCTTATGATATGATATTTATTTAAACTCTGATTATCTGTCCACTACACCTACCTTAAGTATTACGTAACTTTTAAGATTTGACCTTATTTATTTATTTACTGAATTGTCTACATATACACATATCACTCACTACCTTTGTTATTCTTATCGCCACCTGCATAAACCTTATCATCAATATTTTGTAATCATTATAATCATCGTTATTAACTACGTTTCAAAACATTTACCACATTATTATTATTATTATTTTCTATAGTTTGGTTTGTAAGGGTTAGTTATGTTTTTATGAGTTGATCACGGATTGATATCAGTTAGAGAACCATTGAAAACCAGCACTGGAGTACTGGACAGCTGCTGTTTTATCCTAGTTTGGGAATCATCGACAGTTCGCATCCACTGGGATTCGAACCCAGGACCTTCCGGTTACAAGGTAAGCTGGCTCGTATACCATTCAACCACTGGGACCCGATTCAGTGGCTCATGAATTCTAACTTCTACCGATTCGTGGTTTAGCGCGACCCCAAGATAACTAACCCTAACAAACCAAACTACAGAAAATTAATCTGATCCTCGCTAGTGACTGACTTGCTACAGGATGGAGTTTCCTGGAGAAGTTCTAGTGAGAAGTCGTGACCAGTGAGGTCCAATTAGTTATTATTATTATTATTTGATCCACAAAATCACCGTCATTGGTTAAAAAATTTTATATATAAATCTATGAAAATTAGAGTAAAGCCTGAAGAAGATCTAATTGAAAACAACAATATTGTTCGCTTATATATCTTGTTCTAATATTATAAATGGGAATATTTAAAGACCTGTAATTATCACAAACAACATGGAAGTGAAATTTTCTGTTCTCTCAAAGTCATAATTATTAATTTATGTTAAATTGAGTGGTGATAACCGCTAGACATGTACAACCCAACAGAAAGTAGCCAATTGAGTGTCACAATGAGATACTCAACGATCTACAATGGCTGAGATAAATATTCCTGTAAGTCCCAACATTGTACAAAAGGTTGTTTGGACAGCAGCACCACTATTAATCAATCAGCGAATGACCTCGAACGTACCAATATTGTGAAGGAGGAGGCATTTTCGTGTATGGAATACAACACATAGATGAAGTTCAACAACAGCGTCCCAGGAGTGCGAACGTTTCAATGGCCTTGAATACATACTAATCGTTGGCTCTCAGTTATAGAGTATCAACAGAGTATAATTCTATTGTGGGTGAAATTTATTTTGATAAAGTCTTACATAGTGTAATACCGAAATATTTCCTGAGCAATAAATTGTGCTCGAAAGGTGGTCATCAGTAAATATAACTGTATAACACTGTGAGACTTTATCAAAATAAATGTTACCCACAATGGAATTATACTCTACCACCACAGTGCCCAAGTTCTATTCTTATATCAACAGAGTAATTTAACCACATTCTATGCATGTAATTATTTAGGTCTTCTAAACGTAACAATAACTCTAATCTTTCCTGAACCTATCCGTAGCGTGAAAATATGCCTAAACTAACTGTAATCTAACTCGAACCAACCCTAATGTCGCCTTTATTAGGTTAACCTAACCCTAACTTGTTTTTGGTTTCGATGAGCTCATTTTATTGATGATGACAACATTATTTGCCAGGTTTCACTGACTCGCTCAGTGAACGTTTCAAGGTCATTGGTGTGGTCGCACTCCAATGGTAGTCACTGGTGCTTAAAGTTTAACTTGGCCGTTCTAGGGAGAGAGGGTTATAGAAAAGGCCGATCCAAAGAAGTCGTACATCTCGACAGTGGTAAGATCTTTCTCACTGACCTACCGTATCAAAAGAATTTGCAGCACTGAATACTTAGAAGAAGAGCTTCTTACTACTCGAGAATACCTCGGCAAAAAATAGATACCTGGCACGTTTCATGGGAAAAAACATAAAACTAAAGCCGAAAAGAAAGTAGTGAACTTCGGTGCCAAAGGAAATGGCGTATAAAAATCTGCACTTCAAGGGAGACTCAGCAGTAGATATCCTAAAGAAGAGAATCGCCAGTTCCCTAATGAAAACTTTTCCTGCAGCAACACTAAGAGTGATATTCGTTAGCATCTGACTGCTTCTCAGCAATATGAGGGACTAACTAGCGGATATGACCACTCCAATGTGAATATATTAATTCACCTGCTCGTATGGAGCTAGGTGGTTCTATGTTTGTCCTTTCAAAGCGTATCAGAGAATATTACTTAACATGCTTGCAAAAAGGAGGCACTGGTTCATTCAACATCTCAACTAATAGGATCATTCAGAGTCATTTACACAGTAAACAAAAGTCTACTAAAGGCAGTGGCTTTCCGATTTATTTGTACTACAGAAGCCCTCGGCCATAGGCATCAAAAACCTAGAGCCATGTATCCAAAAGAAACTAGTCCAACCTCCACATTTACTATGGACCTAATTCGGTGGTTTTTATCTTTAGTTTTTGTCTGTTAGTTTGTTTCTAATCCCCTTCATTATTTTTTCTACCTTCAGTTATAAAAACTATTTACTTCAATCTGTTTTCATACTCATCCTGTTCAAACTTGTATTCGTTAGGATAGGAAAAAAAAGCTACTTTCTAATCCTGTGTAATTTTGTTCCTAAGCCCCTTGTAATCTATGTAATATATATTTATACCTCGAAAATTTCTATAACAAGTTGAGAATTATCACTGCCTTTAATCTCTCTACGTTACGATGTTGGATTAAGTAATGACTATTATCTATGTAAACTTAGGCATAATAAATCCGATTGTACAACCACTTTTGAGGGTGAAATCACTGAGTAGATACCTTATTGTTGTTTCCTCTTTCTAAGGACACAACTCCAAACGTGTGTGACGACTGGCGTCAGATACCAGTTCCCTTGACCTCTACGGTCACACACAATACTGACCGATACTCCTTCTGTTACAGATATTTCCAAAAGTAATCGATTTCCACGGTGTAGGCAGCAACTCCCGCAAACTAATCACCATATGTTTCCATAAGGATACAACAGCTTTCCAGAATCATTTGGAAAGTTATAAAAAAAGAGTGAAGTTGAACCTCGTGGAAGAACTGATGTGTCTGTCAATATTGGATACGTTTTAAGCGTTGAAGCTTCAGGGGCAGTGGTGTTAATCCTTCGTTGCGTGGGTGGGGGGTCGGGGGTGGAGTTGCTGGCCTCACGCCCAACCATCTCCTCTTTACCCGGATCTACTCACAGCCAAGCGAGGTTTAGGAGTTCATCGGCAGGGAATCGAACCCTAGACCACAACATAAGGCGTGGTTGGCGAGTATTCCAACCACTGAACCTCTGATCCCGAAAGTTTTGTGAAATTATTCAGTAAAGTTACAGGATTTTATCATGAGCTGACATTAATTAGAAAACCATTGGAAAACCTGGGAGTACTAGACAGCTGTTTCGTCCTAGTTCGGGACTCTTCAACAGTACGCACCCACCGGGATTCGCACTCCCAGGTTTTCCAATGGTTTTCTAACTAATGTCAGCTCATGATGAAATCCTGTAACCAATCAACCAAATCTCTACAAACCAACACTTGAATATTCAGTAAAGTCTCTGTTAAAAAGAATTCATTTCCCAACTGATGAAACAAATGAACCCACACATAATCATGTGAACCACATTAGAATCCTCTCTTGAAATTTAAGATTTAATGTCAGATTAGAAATTCTACATCTGACTTAGATAAAAAACAACTGTTCCTCAAGACCACAGAACGAAACAACTACGAAAACTCAATACTCGTACACATGGGTTACACGAAAAGGAACCAATAAGTGCCCTGCAGTTATCATCAATGAATCATATTTTAAACTTTTAGTACTCACACCCAACAATAAGATTTTTCCCTATTTAATGGAGACCCTGGAGATACAGAATCATCAGTGAACTGAACGAAACTAAAGAAAAGATTCTACTGAAACTCTTTAACCAAACACAAACTAACACGTTACACCAGACGCTTATACTGACTACTTCAAAATACCATCAAACTTTTAACCCACCCGTCGTCGCATTAGTCATCGACAACTCAAACATGTTCCTTTTTCTGGAATAGAACACTTCAAAATAGAGAAAAAAGACATTGCGAATTGGTCGCGCTATGTCATGAATTGTCAGAAGTTAGAATTCATGGACTGGCTATTGGATCGGGTTCCACTGGCTTAATCGTCTACGAGCTCGCTAGCCTTATAACCAGAAGGTCCTGGGTTCGAACTTTCTCTATGGTGGGTGCGTACTGATGAAGAGTCCCAAACTAGGCTGATGAGACAGCTAGCAGTCCAGTACTCCCAGCTGGTTTTCCAATGGTTCCCTGACTGTTGTCAGTTCATGATGAAATTCTCCAACTAATCAATAATCATCGAAACAGACCAAATCCCTACAAACTAATTCTTGAAAATTAATCTGATGCTCGCTAGTGACTACCGGCTATAGGACGAAGTTGACTGGAGGAATTCTAGTGAGAAGTCGTGACCAGTGAGGTCCACCATCTGGTTGGAATTGAGGACTAATATTTGGATATGATCTTGGCTGCTACCAGTTATGCTAAAATCAGGCATACGTAGAAGTTAGAATTCATAGGCTGACCATTGAATCGGGGGTCTCAGTGGCTGAATAGTGTACGAGCTTGCCCTCTAGCCGGAAGGTCCTGGGTTCGAACCCCCTTTGGTGGATGTGTACTGCTGGGGAATCCCAAAGAAAGAGGAAGAAACAGTTGTCCATTACTATAGTGCTGGTTTTTAATGATTGGAATCCTCCAACTGATATCAATCCATGGGTAAACTTGAAAGAAAACAATCACTTGCGAATGTATAGAACGCTCAATTTCTAGTCATTTATGCTAAGTCATCCAATTTATTTGCTCAACTTTAGTCCTTATTTAAATGACACTATTCTCTACCCCATCTCTACTTAGTCTCTGCCAGTAATTACCTTAGTTGCCATCCTGACCTAAGTTGAAACATTTTAAGCAATTAAATTACGTCACCTGACTTACTAACTCAATCTAACTTTAGTTGCTGTCTAATTAACCTTGTTTCTATATTAGATCATTCTTGTATTACCTGATTAATTATCTAAACTTGACAAACCTCATATACACACAGACACAAAAATAATTATATATAAATGTGATTGTACAGCTATGTGAATGAATTCACCGAAAAGAGTCTCTTCGCTGAACGTCTTCTCTTTATCAAATGTATAGAAAGCAGAACCATAGACTAAAAACTTGTCCGGCTGAAACATTAGGGCATAAAACCAATAACTAACAAAGTTATACATAAGTGTGTCAGGTGTTCTTGGGTTCGATTCCCGGCCGACAGATTCCTGAAACATCGCCTAGCTGGCTAGCAACCCCACCCTGCAAAAAAACCCAACTGCTATTGAAACTTCATAGCTCAAAGCTTGAAACCTTACAACATTCCACTCGGAACTCAATGACATGAGAAGTAGAAAATACATCAGTACTTAATGATTAACAGCAGGATAGATAGATAGATAAATGCGAGATAAACAGTAAGAAGTCATTTTTTTACAGTGCGTCGGTGGCACAGCGGTTAATACGCTCGCCAACCATGCACATGGTCTGGGGTTCGATCTCCGGCCACAGGACGCACACCTTTACCTTGCTAAACCAGTAATAAAGCTGGTAAAGATGAAGAAAGGCTAGCAAACCCATCCTGTAAAAATAATCACCACTGCTACAGAAACTTCAATTCAAGCCTCTAGCTTGAAGCCACCCTATGTTCCACCAGGGAACGTGAAGGAATAAAAAAAAGAAAGAAAGAAAACTTACAATCAGGAGGACCAGGAAGTTGTTTAGCAAGTTCTTCAAATTGTAAATTCTCTTCAGCTAATGCAGCTGAAAGTTCATTAGGTATAGGATGATTTTCACAAGAATTTCCACTAAGTATAGAGATAACATCATCTTGATCATTTGGTTCATCTTTAAGATCTATACAACAATGTGAAGACGAGTCATCATCAATATCATCCTCATCCTCATTATGGTTATGATTATTTTTACATCGATTTTTCACTTTGCCGGCATCACTTAAATTACTACGATGCTTTGACGACGATGATGATGATGATAGACGAGGTTTTTTCACTGTAGAAACAGCTGTTGCCATAGATGCTGCTAATGCAGCTGTTCTTTTTGGTTTTCTTGACCCTCCACCATTAATACTATCCATAGAAGAATGTGTACCAGGTGATCCATCTGGAGTCATTAAATGATTACATGAATTCACAGTCATCATATCCTTTAGATTAGATTTATACGACGATGACATTCGAGAATAGGATGATAATTGTCGATCTGTTGAACTTTTCGATTGAATTGTTGATGAACAACTTGAAGAAGAATGTCGACAGGCATCATTATCACTGCAATCACCAGCACCGGCACCACCGCAACCACCAGCAGCAACAGTACCACCTTCAACACTGCGTAAACTAGAACTACTTCTACTACGACTGCGACTACGACCACTACTGCTATTACTTCCTGAACTAGTACTTCGTTGAGCATGTGTAGTAGCCATCATCATTAGATTCCCATTGACAGCAGCCAATCGTCTTTTTTTCAACATAGCACCACCCCCAGCCCCACTACTAGTAGTAGTAGTAGTACCACTTCTTGATGCATCATTACGTAATGATGTATGCGATAGACTAGAATTACTATTTACACCAGGACTATGCTTTCTTGATCGTCTTTCAGTTTTTCTCCTGTCTTTACAAAGTTTTCCTTTACCAGGATGATCATATTCCGCCGGTTGAAGAGAATTCAGCTTTACATTCATATGTGATTCGTCATCATCATCATCATCATCACCGACACCATCCTCATCATCATCGGCATCATCATCGTCATCCTCAACATCATCATCGTCCACATCATCCACATGATCATCAGCAACACCAGCGGCAGCCGCAGCGGCAGCAGTATCACCCTCACATAATGGTGGTAATTGTTTATTAGATCGACGTGAAATTTTTGGAGCAGATTTTTTTAAACTATTATTATTATTATTCAATGAAGATTTTGTTGTAGTGATTTTTGTCGGTTTACTTTCATCACCATCGGCATCATCATTTCGTAAGCCTAAAATTCCTCCAGTAGTTGTTCCATATTTAGAGCGTTTCTTTTGTTTAAATTTTCTCTCAGAACAGTAGTCAATTTTCTCTACCTGAAAAGAAATTTGTGAATAATATTCGATAAGAAGGACAAGTGCATAATACAACAAACAGATCATGAAATTTCTACAAAATACTATCTGGTATATCCATTAGGTGTATGTCCTGATTAAAGGTAAAGATATTGAAGAACAGGCTTGCTGAAGTATGCAGATTAGTCACATTTAACACTACACTAAGAAAGAGCAGTCTATCTCGCAGTTATTCAGCAGCGCACGATGTATGCACCAAAACAAGCGTCCGTCAGGGATGCCCATTAACCCCATTCCTATTCAATTTCATCATACATGAACTAATGGACTTAATCTTAACTCACTTCAGAGACTCAGAGATTGACTTGCTACCAGGCAATAATCTCGTTGACTTAGAATATGCAGACGATGTAGTCCTTCTAGGCGAGGACGCTGACAAAATAGAGCAGAGTCTTCTGAACACCTTGAGGAGCTGCAATCTACGAATGTTTGGCATGCGATTCGCTCACGTCAAATGTAAGATGATAGACCTACAGAACTGGACTACACTGACTCCTAGTTTAGAAATAGGGAGTGAAGTGGTTGGTGGGGTGTGTTGACCTCTTCCCTTATTTGGGAAGTACCATCAGCCAGTGCCAACGGGTTGATCTCTGACGAAATCTCAGCTGAGTACGGATAGAGAGGGCTAGTTTCGCATATGCCAGTTTATGCCGTCTCTCGCTTAGTAGACGTGATATCCGGCTAGCTAGCTGTCGACCAAAGGGCGGGTGTACTGCTCATCAGTCCTCTCCGTCCTCCTTTATGGCCAGCTGTGAGACCTGGCCATTGAGAGTAGAAGACTTGAAAAGCCTGGCTAGCTGTCTTTGATCATAGGTGTCTGCGTTCTATCTCCCGTGTGAAGTGGTATAATAAGGTGAGCAATATTGAGGTTAGTTGTTCGTCGAGTGCTAGGTAGGTGGGAGGGGAAATCAATCGACGAGGCTGTGAAATTACATCGACTGAGATGGTTAGGACATGTGTTACGTATGCCTATCCATCGATCGCCTTCCTCGACCGATGGGCAATGTTAGCTGGCTGACATAGGGTCAGGCTGGAAAAGAGCTAGCGACGGTCAAACCAAAACCAACATGGTTGCACCAGTCAATGAAATCTACAACAGTTAATTTAAGCCAGCCAGCCACGTAGGAAGGTGTAAACTGCTGTCTGGTTGGGGTCCTCGGGACGGTAGAAACCAATGGTTGGAAATAATTGGTGACACAGCTCAAAGTCGTTCTCAATGGCTGGTGCAGATGCATCCACTCCTTGTGACTTATGATTTCCAATGAAACTATATTTTTATTCGATATTACTATTCTTTTTGTCTCATATCCCTGTCTACTGTCTCTATTTTGCATTTCTCCTATTTTCTTCTCTTCCTTTGTGTGCTACAGAGAGGGAGTGTGGCGACTTAAACTGCCGCATGTCGGTTCAAAGTTCTATGTCGAAAACAGACAGATAGATCAAAAGATGAGCCACACAACAATATATAAAGAATATAGGGAGAGAATCAATGAGGGACATCATCTAGAAAGCAAGGAAGCATATTTGTCAGCATCATTCAACATTCATTACTTCATGGTACTTTCAGAAAAGCAAGAAAGATTGAAGTTGTAGCTTGTTGCCATTGATTATGATTCGAGTCACCAATCTGAACTACCTCTCGGACAGGAACCACGGAGTTGTGATGTGTCAACCTAACACAATAAAACCTTCATCCCACGACGTCACGTCATACGCTGACCACCTCTATCTACCTTTTTCATCCAATCCCATGGCTACCGAACAGAAAACGGTACTGGAGCCTATGGGATGACATTCGCAACACATGTTTAAGCCACCGAAGTCAGTGCTTCTAGATAGTGATACTGAATGAATGATGGACTTCAATTTGTCCAAATACACGCTACCGGACCTCAGAATTACTCACATGATGATGCCATGGGATGCAAGCAATTCTACGGAGACAGAGATGATCGAATACACAGAGTTGCCTGACATCCTCAGCTGATAGGAGCTAGGTTTCACAGGAATAAAGCAAGCGTGAGTGTACCGAAGCATTGTAAACCTGACCTTTGACAGTGAGGCTGACATCGCAATGGCGTCAGAGGTGGCCCCGACTCGTATATGACACCCTAGCTTTCACTATACGGTTAGAGATATCGCTCATCACACCTATGCCTGCCAGCACTCACACAATTACTCAGATATACGAACTTGTCGACAACTCCAAGAGGTTTGAGTTCGGTCCCCAGTCGACACACTCCTCAACTTCACATCTCGTCTAGTTTACCGGCTCAATGGTCTCACCAGTCACTTCTCAGCCTGGAAAAAGAGGGGAGGTTGACAATAGGGCTAGCAGATCCTACTGCCAGAAAATAAATTCGATTACTGCAGAAACTTCAATCAATAATAACAACACTGTTCTATAATCTCGGCCTAACTCTATCTAGATTTCCACTGTTCAGAGAGAAAACACTTGTATGGAACTGCTAGGATTCTTAAAACTGAACGTAAGTTAGTTGAATGGAACATGAAACACCTGACACTTCAAGCCTCTACATACAGAAAGACGCATGAAGCCATGATTCATCTCTTGCGAAGAGATTACCGAATCTTACGAGAGGTTTAGCCAAATGTGCTGGCATTGTCAAAACTTAATTTACCTAACCCCAAAAAACAAAACCAACACTTAGTGTAAACAATGTATTTATCAATTCTAGAATAAATTTAAATTAAAAAAATAATCAGACTTACATTCTCTTTCGTTGTCAACCGGTTTTCGCATAAATATTGATTAGCTTTCATATCATCTGAATACGATGATGGTGGTCTACTACTCTGAACTTTAGGATTATCATCCTCATCGGTAATTCAGGCTTAGTAGAGCTGCAGATATTCAACTCTGGCGGTGGTGGTGGTGGTGGTGGTTTAATATCTACACGATCAGCTTCATACCGTTGAATAAGCCGTTTTTTCAGTGGCATTGAAGTATTTTGAGTTCTTTGATCTAATGAATTATTATCATTGATTTTATTCTTTGTAGAATCTTGTTTAAGCTGTGTCGGTGTAGTAGTTGATGGTGGTGGTACACTTGGAGAGCTCACCACTACTGTAGGCTGTCTTTTATTTGCTTCTGATTGATGAATAGACGACCTTTTACCTCCTGACCAATTAATGTTAGATCGATCATTTTCTACTTTACTGGATACTATTTCAATGGCATTATTATTATTCATAGAAGCTGTAGAATTTGTATTCATAGGGAAAAAGGAATTCGAGGACTGGGAATAAGTAGTAGTAATCGGGGAATTTTCTTCTCCAGAATGTATTATGAATTGAGACTGTTGTGTAGAATTGGGAATTTTATGCCCACTTCCAATGACTGGAGATGGAGGTTTGATTGTCTGACAGCAAGAGGATGATGCCGATGATGATGTTGATGACACAGACACAGGCGATGATGATGATGACGATGAGGAAATCGATGTTTGAATATGGGGATTAGGTCCTTTAAAATTGAAATTCATTGGGACAACATTAGGACTACATTGGCCAGATATTGGAGTTTTATTCACCGATTCAGATGGAAGAAATGATGAAACAGACAATGGGGATGAACTAGACGTACTATATTTTCTTTCAATTGTTTTTGTATTATTTAACTGATGATTCACCAGAGAAAATGGCGATTCAGGTGTACTGGATAGAGAAACTGCTTGACATGCTGTCGATGAAAATGAACTTGATGATGATGATCGAATACGATTTGCCTTACTACTCATTGGTATATTATTTTGACTCATTGTACACGATGGCCAATCTACACTCAGTGAGGCTAGTTTAGCATCGTGTAAGATAGCAAGTCTTGAATCAGCCAATTCAACTGTCTGATGATCACGTGGATTCGATGATTGTGGTTTACTTGGATGAGAAGAGTCAGTTGGATAAGTTCTTTGATCACTAGCACTACCACCACCAGCCCCGCCGCCACCACTCCCACTCCCAGTCCCACTTCCAGTACCACCTGTTATCCATGGTGGACAACAAATATGCTCAGATTTATGCAATTCATTGACTGGAGTTGATGAACGTGAATTTAAACGATTCGTTGACTCCATTGATCTCGGCAGAGGACTACTTTTCATATTAGGATATCTTAAATCAGACATTGTTCCGATTGAAACTGATGGAACAGTTTTAGGATTGACGAATGATATATCACTGACTCTTCGAGTTTTAGCCTCCGTTGTCATACTAAAAAAGATAATTATTAAAGAAAAAACATAATAATAATAATAGTAACTTTTGACTGTTTCAGTCTTCAATTATACCAATAACCAATACGCTTTACAGACATGATGAAATTATGACCGATTGGTTCCTCAGGAAAACGACACTCACATCAATAACAAAGTCAATACTCGAAAAAAAAAACGAGTTCTTAGTTGCCAAGGTGAAAGTATAAAAAAAAGGTAAAGGAGTACAATAATTACTGAATTCAATGAAGTACATTCGGCTATGAAATTCACATGCGAAGAGGAACCCCAAGACAGAATTGCCTTCCTGGATGTCCTATTTGCAAGAAAACCAGACGGAAGCATAAAAAGAAATTTGCATAGAAAAAATACTTGGACAGGACAATATACACACTTTCACAGTTTCGTGCCTATCAAGTACAAAAGACATTTAGTAAAGACCCTCAGCCACAGAGTTAGAGCTATATGCTCAGAGGAAGTAATTGAAGATGAATTAAACATGGTATATGATACTTTGATCGAAAATAGCTATCCCGACAAACTTATCAAGAAACACATGACAAAGAAAGCCGTAAAGGACTACTCATTGTCTGTAAACAAGAAGCCACTTTATATACGACTACAATTCATGGGCAATATATCAAGTGAGATAATTACGAAGAAATTAAGAAAATCAGTCCAAAGAACTTCTAATGCTGGCGAACTACACGTATTATTCTCTACACGACCGATGGTGCTACCTTGATTGAAAGATGAAGTACCTAGACTAACCACTTCAAATTGTATCTACCAATTCAACTGCGCTTGTGGAGCGAGTTATATTGGCCGTTGCTCTAGGAACTTGATTTTTCGTGCTCACTCGAGAACATATCCCAGTATGGCTAAGTAAAGGTGTAGTTAAAACCATTAACAGCTCGATATTAGACCATCTGGTACAAACCGGTCACAAAGCCAGCGTGGAAGAATCCTTCTCTATAATATACCGGGTGCCTAATAAATTACCATACTCATCGAAGCACCGTATGTTCCAAACAGCTGAGGCTATTGCAATTCGCCTGAAACAACCAGTGCTCTGTGTTCAAAAGAAGCAAGTCCAGCCTCTACTACTACCTTGGCCTTCAGTAGGGACTATAAATTCATGAATTTGTAATATTATCTTTCCTAATTCTTCTGACATTCAGCTTATTTTATGTTGATGCTGTTCAGCTGTAATTTATCAATATTATTGATTCGATGTTATTTAAACAACATTAATGTCGTTCATATGACTAATTCATTCATTCATTATAATGTATGCATAATTGTAGAACCTGATGATGAATTTATCGAAAAGAGTACTCTTTGTTCCGTGTCCATTCTTTTGAAAAAAATTTTTAATGGGCATTTTTAATCAGTTAATATGCATATATATATATATATATTATTTATTTTTCTGTGTGATTCACAAGGCTTATTGTTCTCATTTAGACTACAAACTGACAATCTATTAAAGAACCGTTGAAAATGAACACAGAGTACGGAACATAGGCTTCGCCCTACCTTAAAGGACTCTTCAATAGTGTACGCAGTATTCACCCCACCCCCCAGCCGTCGAAGATAGAATCCAAGACCTTCACCTTCAGATTACAAGGCGAACCTGTTGACCATTCACCCACTGATACCCAATTCAATTCAAAATTCTGTCAGTTGGTGATATATGTATAACGCGATCGTCATCAGGCGGTTTCATCATCGTCAGTGAACCCTACTGGTCATCACATCCCAACTAGAACTTCAAACAACTTCATTATTCTATATAATCAATCATTACTAGAGAAGTGTTAGATTAACTTTTCAAGTGAAATTTTAATCAAATCCTTAGAAACTGTGTCTGTATTCGACATAGAACTTTGCACATATGTGCGACAGTTCAAGTCGCCACACTCCCTTCATGTAGCACACAAAGAAAGAGAAGAAAGTAGGAGAAATGCATAATAATATAGACAGTAAACAGAGGTGTGAGACAAAGGTATAGTGATAACGAAGAACAAAAGTTTCATTGGAAATCATAAATCATAAGGAGTGGATGCATCTGAGCCAGGCATTGAGAATGATTTTGAGCCATATCACCAATTGCTTCCAGCCATTGGTTTTTACCGTCCCGAGGACCCCAACCAGACAGCAGTTTACCCCTTCCTACGTGGCTGGCTTAAACTAACTGTTGTAGATTTCATTGACTGGTGCTATGTTTTCGTTTGACCATTACTAGCCCTTTTCCAGCCTGACCCTATGTCAGCTGACATTGCCCGTCGAGGAAGGCGATCGATGGATAGGCATACGTAACACATGTCCCAACCATCTCAGTCGATGTAATTTCACAGCCTCGTCCATTGATTTCTCCTCCCACCTACCTAGCACTCGACGCCTGACCTCAATATTGCTCACCTTATTATACCACTTCACACGAGAGATAGAACGCAGACACCTACGATCAAAGACAGCTAGTCATGTCTTCCACTCTCAATGGCCAGGTCTCACAGCTGGCCATAAAGGAGGACGGAGCGGACTTCTGACCAGTACACACGCCCTTTGGTCGACAGGCAGCTGGCTAGATATCACGTCTACCAAGCGAGAGACGGCGTGAAGTGGCATATTCGAAACTAGCCCTCTGTATCCGTACTCAACTGAGATTTCGTCAGAGATCAACCCGTTGGCACCGGCTGATGGTACTTCCCAAATAAGTGAAGCGGTCAACGTGGTCTACCACTTCACTCCCTATTTCTAAACTACGAGTCAGTGTTGTCTAGTCCTGTAACATCATCTTACATTTGGTGGGAGCGAATCGCATGCCAAACATTCGTAGATTTCAGCTCCTCAAGGTGTTCATTAGACTCTGCTCTATTTTGTCAGCGTTCTCGCCTAGAAGGACTATATCGTCTGCATATTGTAAGTCAACGAGATTATTACCTGGTTGGAAATCAATCTCTGAGTCTCTGAAGTGAGTTAAGATTAAGTCCATTAGTGCATCTATGATGAAATTGAATAGAAATGGGAATAATGGGCATCCCTCGCTGACGGACACCACTAGTCGTCAGCAGTTTATATGACAACTTTCCATAAGCTCTCACCTGGCTGCATGAGTTCGAGTACAGTGCCTTGATCAGTGCAATGTATCTTCTCGGCATTCCCTTCGCAGCCAAGCATCGCCAGAGTACCTCTCGGTCAACAGAATCGAACGTCGCCTTCAGGTCAAGAAATATAATGATTGTTGGACGCCGGTAGGAATGCCTATGTTCTACAATCTGTCGAAGGGTGTAGATATGATCAATATACCCTCTTCCTGGTCTAAAACCTGCCTGTTCTCTCATGTTTGTGCCTCCCGAGCACCACTTAGTCTACGCAATATTATTGAGCCTAGGACTTTAGATGATACTATATTAGTCAAACTAATCCCTCTGTGATTATCACAGGAAGACTTGTCTCATTTCTTGTATATAGGGATAATCCTTAGAAACACAACGGTTATGTGTTCTTTTCCTGCTTGAAGTAAGGAATCATCTAACTTCAGGACGAGGTAAAACCGAGACAACTAGTGCGCCAAAAACTATTATAATATTTAATTGAAAGGTGTCAGCATAAATCAATCAATAAATCAATAATAAGTTCAAAAGCATCTTGGCAAACAGTTTTCAGCCGTCTTTTAAGTTTATTAATACATATTAGGCAATAATTAAAAAGGCCTTTCAACAGGACAACATTGTAAACAAACTTCTCTTATATTAAGTACAGTTGTAGAATTACCTGAAGAATATGTGACTAGTAGAAATCAATATAAAGTGTCTCTGTGTGTGTGTGAACTGTTTAACAGACATTACTTTAATGCATTTGAATACAAGAACAGCACTCTCTCACTTACATCACAGTACTACTTAACTTAGCATTTGTTTTCCTAAGTGAATCACGTGAGATATGCAGTAAAAAAACAACAAACGACAACAACAACAAAAGATGTCAACAATAGTGATGAGTATATACATATACATATACATATATATATATATATATATATATAACTATACAAGAATAACCAAACAATTAAACTACTTCCAATTGTATCAATAATACCTTTTGTTTTGAGTACGATATTGATCTGAATTATATTGATTGATTCAATTCTTCAATAATCTCTCTAACTGATGTGTGTTGGTTTGTGAAGGAAAAAAACAACAACTAACAACTGAAATTCATTCAAAATTCGACATAGCCTGAATATCAATCGACAGTTCACAATGGTGGCTATTTGGGTGAATTCCCTGAATCTGCAGTGGGAAGTCCACCAAGTCAAGGGGTGAACTGGATGCTCGAAGGCATTGGCCGGTGGTGATAGCTCTCTATATATATCACAAGTTGAGAAAGTTAGAATCCAGTAGTTATTGAATTCTAACCGAATTGGTTGAATGGTTAACAAGCTAGTTCCATTTCTGATGGTGAAGTCTTGTGTATGAGTGTGTTGTTGAAGAGTTCAAAAACAAGACAAAACAGCTGTCCAGTACTCCCTGGTATTCATTCATTCAGTGACCACCTATGCAACTTATGCTGTTTCGTGACGAAATCCTACGTTATCTGAATTTTTCATGAATATTGATTTATTTGTACAAGCAGGGGAGGGGAGGGGTGGGGAGACAACTGATTTTTGATAGGACAACCATCAGGGCTTTGATAGGATTACTATTATGAGGTTACTATCATTTCCCAGGTAGTCTTCAAGCTTATATCACTTCAGTGAAGAAAATAAAAGCAGTTCGCCGAGGTGTCCATTTTATCCACTGTGTATACGCATATACGCACCACTTTTTTTCCTTCACGTTCCCCGGTGGAACATACGGTGGCTTCAAGCTAGAGGCTTGAAGTTTCTGTAGCAGGGGTGATTATTTTTTTAGAGGATGGGGTTGCTACCCTCCTCATGCTCAACCTTTCCTCTCTTCACTAGCATTATTTCTGCCGGAGATCGAACCCCGG